TTTCATAAATCAAGAGAAGTATACTCACAATCTTCTTGATAAATTTGGCACGAAGAATAACTCCAAGCTTAGCGTACCAATGGCGGTTAGAACGAAGTAGAGTCCTTCATTAGACAAACCTGCTGTGGACATCACTTTGTACCAAAGCATGATAGGTTCGTTACTTTACCTTACGGATAGTCGACACAACATCACGTTTTCTATGTCCAATTGTGCCAGGTACCAATCAAACCCAAGAGAACCACATCTCACTACATCCAAGAATATTTTGCGATAGCTAAAAGGAACCATTTAAAAGGAACCATTATGTTAGGATTCTTTATTCAAGCATTCTCAGATGCCGACTTGGGAGGTTGCAATTTTGATCGCAAAATCACAAGTGGTGGATGCCAATTACTTGATGGGAGGCTTGTGATCAGGCAATCAAAGAAACAAACATGTGTTTCGATTTCGACAGAAGAAGCAGAATTTGTGGCTGCTGCAGCTTGCACTTTACAAAGCATATGGATCCAAAGTTAGTTGTGTGATTATGCAATCAATATGAAGAAAATTTATTTGTATTGTGATTCACAAAGTGCCATATGTATTTTTCACAACCCCGTGCAACATTCGAAAACTGAGCACATTGCTCTTCGTTATCATTTCATTCAAGATCATGTCGAAGATGGAAATATTGAAGTTCACTTTAAAAAACCACTGATCAGCTTGCTGATATTTTTACAAACCCTTTAGATGAAAAATAGTTTGTGAGAATTTTGGCAGCTCTAGGAATGATCGAACGAAATTCAGTTCCTGCATTAGGTTTGAAAGATTGATATATCAGTCACAGAGGACAACTGTCGGAGTCAACGGTTACTGTTCATAGTCACTGTTTCAAAATGCTTCGCTTTCGATATCATGTTGTGTGGCTAAATGAAAAATCTTCGCAAGTTTGGTACATTTACTTTTCTTATTTTTGATTTTTTTAATGTAACTTCTTTTCGATAATTCAAAAATAGAAAAAATATTCTAATTTTGTTTTGTCTTTAAATTTCAAAAAATCAAAAACTCCAAAAAGATTTTCATAATTTTGATTTTCAAAAATACAAAAAGATTTTCTTGTTTTTGGTGTTTGTATTTCATATTTTTAATGAAGCTTTTAGCAAAGATCATTAACGGTTCATGCTTGCAGTTCTAGGGTCAGGTATATTTTTCAAAAACTTTGTACTAGTTAGGATGTCCCTAGAAGCATGTTGCAACATGTTGACCCAAGCCTCTTTCGACTCAATGTGTGTTTTCAAAGCCTTAATGAAGTTTTCATCATGAAAATTTCATCCCAATCAGGTTGTATTCACATTAGTCCTTGAGCTACCTTACTCTTCTCATTTGAGTTAAGAGATTCCTGCTTGGTCCATACATAGCAGATGTACTTTCAAATCTTTTTCATCCTAAAGTACTTGCACTTTCACACACAATGACATATGTCCAATAGATTTCTAGTATAAACCAATCAGGATCTAGACATATCAAAAATATGTGTTTATGATCTAACATTATGAGACCGTGATATAAGTAAAACCCTAAATGTCAAACAAATTTAAGGAATTGATGGGCCACTTTGTTCTAGAATAAACGAAACATTTGTTTCAGTACCTGTTTTCGATACTTAAAATCAATTTTTTTTTGTAGTAATCTTGATCAAATGTTCGCAACCCATGACATTTGTTACCCAACAAGATTTAGGACTACTTTTGGTTTCAAAAATATGATTTATGTCCGAGTATCATTATTAACCTTCATTACTTGATAAATTTTCTAAAGCTTACTTGTCACTAACTACACTCGTCAAACATATAATTTTGTTTACAATTTGACACTCATGTTTTGTAGTGCATTGTAATGAAATTTGAAAGCAACCTTCGAAGCCATGCAAAAACAAGCCCTGCGATTCTTATCAACAAGTATTCGATTGGAATTCACGGTAAACCAAAAAAATAGTTGATCATATATCTTGATGATTAACGAAGTAATCTTTGCCTGGGATTTATCTGCTTTTATGTCGAAATTTTATTTTCGACATCACAGATCCAGATTTTTCTTAATTTGCTTCTTATCTTTTTCCTTGACACACTGTACTCACGAAATACTTGAGGTTTTGAGTATTACCAACTCAGAGTGACGATTTCAAAAGTCTGGCTTATGACTTCGTTTTCAAACCTAAAAGCGAAAGAGCCCTACTGCCATTCTGAAGAGTTTAGTCCTTATCCATAAGTACTTATGAAGATACTTTTGATGTCACTGTTTGGTAACTGTGCACGTTTCTAGGAAATTGTGTTACACACTTTATTTGACATGGTATATTTAATGGCTAATGGTGCAACTTTCAAGGGCCACGTTTCTAGTTCATTAATGGTAACCGTTTGAGATTCGACTTTCGGATGCATATAAAATGGGCAATTGGGTCTTCATTCCAAGTTTACGTTTATTAAATATTCTCAAAGAAGATATGTGCTCTAGTTTTCTCTATTCTTCACGATTTCAAGAGAAACCCTAGTCATGGATGCTCCTCAATCCAACACTACTGATGATGTCTCTTCTCAACCTATTATGAAGATTCAGAGTACCAACTATCAAGTTGATGGTGAGGTCAATGTGTACCACGAAGAACTCAAGATATTGATAGTCACTTTCAAACATTCAGTTTTATCGACTACGATGTTTAGTTCCTTTAAAGTCCCAATGCCTTGTCTTTCACTTGCTAGTTCTACTGCCTCATATAGAAAGACAATGGATACTGTGACATTCAATCTTGTGAATGATAAGATGTTTTGTCTTTCCTAGAAGTTGTTTGCCAAGGTCCTTGAAATACCTAATTCTCCACCATTCTACAAAGTCACGAATGAACAAGTGCTACATATGTTCAATGAAATGGGTTATCAACCCACTCTTAAGACACTACTAGAAAAACAACCTTTTACGACGTGCAAACAATGACACGCAGTGATTTACGATGCGTAAAAGTGTGCGCCCTAAAAATAATGTCATCTCTTCTAAATTTTGAAGGATAGTGGACACGCATTTGTGCGTGCCCTGAAATTAGTGTTAGAAAAGAAAAAAAAAAATACAAACACGGAGGGCGCTTATCTTAAACGTGTGACCTCTTCAAATTTTGCTTTATATTTTTGCTTAAATGCGCGTTTTTAAAGGGGGAAAACGAAATCGTGAAATTATAAAATTTTGAAGAACCCCGCTTCTACCCTCTCTCCTCAATATATCCCTTTATTCACTCCTTCCTTCTCTCTATAAACCCTAATCGCCACTGCCACCGCCACCGCCATTTAACCTTAAAATCTCAATCCACACTTCACTTTCATTCACTCAATCCGACCCTTAAATTTTAGCAAACCCACCAGAACCCTAGGTCATGCCTTTTATGCTTTCACATCCTTGCTTCCCTAGTCATATGTTATTCTGAATCCTTATTTCTTTTCTCTATCACGAATGCGCCTCTATCGCATCGCTTTGCTCATCGTCGTTGTCTTAGGCTCTTACGCCTCCATCGTGGTCTTTGTGCTCATCTTATCATCATACATGCCATCTCTTCTCGTCGTTCTTCTCCTTGACCCTACGCAGGTAATATCATCAGTAGTCCCTCTTATCGTCGTTCTGCTCCTTGACCATACGTAGTGCGTGGCTATTACCTTCTTGTCCAACGACCCGTCAACCCAAATCCTGACATGGCTAACCTATGGCGAACTGTGATGGCGAATCACCGCCCAATGTCGACGACTATGGTGATGGTTGGCATTCAAGCTTTTGACCTAGTACACTTCATCCGAGAAATAGAAGGAAGATTCGATGAATTCAATCAGACGGTCAATTGTTCACTTCTCGAGGTTTGTTACGATCTCTATGTTTTATTAATTTTGTTTGTAAATTTTGGTATGATGCTCGTTTCTTCAATCGCTTAGCGACATGGATTTTAACATGTCATCATCATAACTGAATCTAGATCAGCAAACAACAAAGTACATGAAATTAAAATTGAAATTGGTATTATCTAGCTGAATCGATATTGATTTGACTCCAAATTGGAGTCAATCGAAGGATTATTTGGTAAGGTGCTCATTCTTTTATTTTCAATAGAGACGAGTTTTGTTGAAAAGACTGATGCCTGCTGCTTTTTAGATTCACTTCCATTTTTCTTTCAGTTTACAACATCTTTTATATGGGAGGTGATATTGCCACAACTGTTTTTTTTAATCCACAGATTTTAAACCATATTGACTATTTTGCCCCTCATTTATATGGCCTTCTCCTTCTCTCACTCTTCCACCTAAATAGCTATCTTCCTTTTTAGATACCCTTCATATACATTCATCATTATCCTATATTACTTTGCTAGTTGGACATATACTTGTACATCATCTATACTTATACAGTCATCACAAACGTACATTACAGATATGGCTTGGAAGAACTCTACAGAAGTTGGATTCACTTTTATTGGGTAGGATGTTGAACACAATAGGGGAGGATGTTGAAAACAACCCTAAGGTTGTTGAAGTTGATAAATCTGATATATCTGGTCTTACATGGATGAAAGTTCCATGGACTAATCAGCTTGCTGTTAGAATCAAAGATGGTTTGAAGTATAAGTTCACTGGTTTTCGTGATCAGGTAGCTTTTTATGGTGATTCATGCATGTATCTTTACTACATATCAAACATCTTTTTCCTTATCATAGTGTTCTATTTTAGTATACTGCAGGATGTTATTAGCCTGACCAACTTTTTCCAGAACTCCCGTGGGTTAACAACAGAAGAGAAACAACTCTCTATTAGTGGGGAAAACTGGGGAGAAGTTGATTTAAATGGTTGATACCTTTATCCTTATCTTGTTTTGTAAAATCTCCAAATTAGTATATTGTGGAGCAACACACATTTAATAATGTTGAGATGTAAATGAAACTAGTTAACATGTTATTGTAACAACAAGCTTTTTGACTGAGTTTGTTGAAGATGAGTGTGCAAAAGATGATGAACATTGGTTTGAACATGGATGAGAACACAACAGGGGAGGATGTTGAACACAACACTAAGGTATCCCTACATGTTGATGATGTTGCTGTTCTTTGTGAGGTAAGTGTCACTTCTCAAAGACCCAAAACTTTCATTTCAAAACTTATACTCATGATATGTAGGATTTATACTTTAAATTCATTCCTTTTAGTATTTTTCAATAAACATTTTAGCATGCATTGAGGTTTCTCATCATAATCTACCTTTTGATCCCAAATTTACAAACCCTATATGCATTCCAACCATCAAGAATGTAACTGGAAACTCATTCCACTGATGTGTTACTTGAAATTGGACAGAATATGTATACCCATTTCTAAATAACAGTATAAGATATACCAAACATGGATGGATATATCTAAAGAGTTTACACACATCCCTTACATAACCAATTGGAAACTAAATTCTACCAAAGTGAATACATGGCCACAGGACCTTCATAGGAATGCTGATGACCAAAGAAAATGCTTCTCTGATTCCAGACATGTTTAAGGTGATGTTTTTCATTGTGATCTTGAAGCATCTGATAATGATTTCCATATCTCCCACTCCCAATCAGATGACACTATTTAGAGCTTTGACATGTGAGTTCATGATGAGATGGTGCTTCAAGCTACATAGGTATGAATGTTCTACTAATTCTAACTTATGTTTGAGCAAACTTTTAAAGACATTTCCCTTTATTTAACATTTTTCTCTTGAATTTTATTATCACATGCAAATGTTGATGAAGTGGAGGATATAACAAGCAATGATGATGTTGGTGTTACTGTGGTTGACCCTGATGAAACTATGCCAGAGTATGAGGGTTTTACCATAGATGAAAAGGAACTGGAAAATGCTAAAGGAGGTGGTGGAATAGATTTTGACAAGCTTGAATTGCCTAGTTCCCCATCAGTTTCCACACATGCTAGTATTAGAAGGAATGCATCCCTTCAAAATTTTTTACCTTTTATCACGTGTTTGATATGTTTCAGGTTTTTTTTTACCTTTTTCTTGTTATCTTTCCTTTAGACCTAGTCATCTATTTCATACGTTTGTCCTCAGATTCTATTTGAAATCTTACTCTTTGTCAAAAGCATGTATAAGAATATAAAGGAAAGTTATTCCCTGCTGCAAATTTATATCTCATAAATGTTCTTTATCTTTTCTTTTAGGACTTTAAGATATCTCCTACGGAAATATACTTCCCTTTTTAGGCAACATGATTCACTTATTGAAGTTATAAGTGTAATTTACTTTCTCACATCTTTACTTAAATAGGAGATTTTACACAGTTTGTGATAATTTTGTTTTGGTTTTTGTTGGGTGTGACAAGAGTTTAAGGAAGTGCACATTTCATGGACTAATCCTGAGCAGTTTCAATCTTAATGGATCCATACAACCCATGACTTTTTCTGTTGATATCACAGCAATGTAAGTACACTTGATCTTTTACATGGTATTGTTCTTGATTCTTATACTCAATAAAAAAATATTTTCATATGATAAAAGATTACATTGATCTCTCAATGAATCAATGTATTGGAACTATTTCCTTCTCATATGGGTTTTCTTGTCCTAGGCTATTATGAAGAAACTAGTGGAACTTAGTGGAAAGGGACTGACAAGATGAGCCACATCTGGATATGTTTCGATGCTAGCTTGGAGCTTCTAGAAGGAAAAACACTTCTAGGTATGTTGACCTTGAATGATGCTTGAGCCCCTATCTTTAATCTTGTTTTGTCTTTTGAACCAGGGTTAGAAAGTCATAATAGAAACTAAGTTGCCGTTTTTGATAGTTTTGAAGTTTAGAGTAGAAGTTAATAAAGGTCATGTGAATAACCTTCAACCAAAACAAATGAAATTTATTATGTTTATTTTTTAATTAATTTGGTAGCTTAACAATTTTGGAAATACTCAAATAACATGATGCTAACTTATGATATATATATATATATATATATATATATATATATATATATATATAAGAAAATGAACCATTTATGCTACTATTGAGGGTCATATTTTATCATTTGTAGATAAAATGTCATTATTTATTCAAATATTATGTTTCTACATGTTTCTAGGTAATTCAAAGAAAAATAGTAAGTGTGCTTACACTATACACCTTGATCAATGGCAACATTAGGCCTTGATCAATGTCTTACACAGGGACTATACAAATCCTATGCTTCCTGTTGCATCTTCAACAATAGATGCTACTGGTATGGTAAAGTCATTATTCTTTATAAAAGCTTGAAGGATTGTTTTGTAAAATTACTCAACTTTTTGTTGTAATATATATTTATACTTGTATTATGCTTACTAGTTTGGCAACGTTGTTGATCCTAGACAACACTTATTTTGTAGTTATGTTTTTTTTTGCAGGCAATATAGATACTGTGACTAACTTCATAGATTTAGAGTCCTTGAGTTGTGTTATTAAGGAAGAGTGGAGGCAAGTCAGACACACATTTAAAAAAATCAGCACATATCTTGTTTACAGTGAGGCACACATTAGGTTATTAGAACTATTAGTTTGTAAATTTGTGTTACGTCTATTGCTTTATTTTATCTTTCCATGGAACAACTATTTGTATGATATTAACTTTTGTGCAATGTATTGTATTTTTTGTATATGGTATTTTATTTTCTATTATGAGACATGAAATGCAAATTTAATTTGAAAATCAGTAAATCTATAAATGACTTTTTTTTTTAAAAAAATAAAATTAAAATTACGATACGCAAAAATGTGTGTCGTCTTCATTTATGACATGACCTTTCTTGACAAGGGCTTCCTTGATATGCATTGTGTGTCATAAATACACGCGTCGTAAGGTTACGACACGCAAATGCGTGTCGTCTTCCTTTATGATAGGGCCTTCCTTGAAATGCATTGCGTGTCATAACCGCGCGTCGTAAAAGGCGTCATAAATGCGCGTCGTCTCTCTTTATGATAGGGCCTTCCTTGATGCGCATTAGCGCGTCGTCTGAGCGTTTTACGATGCGCAATGAGCGTCATAAAAGGCTGTTTTTCTAGTAGTGAGAAGATCAACGAGCTCAAGAAGTCCAACCTTCACAGTATTTGGAATTTTCTTTTTGGAATTTACCTTCGATGTCTCATAGGTGAAAGTGTTAGCTTGGATAAAGGGAGAATCGAAGTGTATGCTATGGTATCCAGAATTTACTATGATCTAGAAGTTCACTATGCCACACAGTTGTGGAAAATACCTATGTAGTGGATGGGATTTCTTGTGCGAGGTATTGGAGTTTAATTCTTCGATATGATTTCGAGAAGGAAGGTATTTTGGTACCAGTTGATGAACCAAATGCCGATTTTGTGAAGTATCATTACCCAAAAACAATTGAAGATGATGTGAGTATATTTCCTTCTGTTGCTCGAATTCTTGATGGTATGCTCAATAAGGTAGATCCATTGAATTCGGTGTTTATGGCATATTTACAAACAATAAACCCAAATGAAAAAACTAGTGTCTTGCTGTCAAAGGATGATAAAGGTCTTTCAAAGAAATCTCGAAAGTCAAAGAAATGGATGAAACTACTCCTAAGAAACCTGTTCAAAGGGAAGTGATCGTCAATACAGAAACATAAGAATAAATAGAACTTACATTCATTATCACAATTGATTTATATCTCCTAAATCTCTCAGTGTAATGTGACTTCATATCAACACCTGTGATATAAATAAACTGAGCGGGTCAGGTTGGGAAACCTAGTGAGAACATAGGGTTTTCAACCCACAATAATATATTTACTATGTTTAATCATCAAACAATTTACCCAATTTCCCATCCCCATTACCTTCTTTACTCTTAAGGATTTTCCCTAAGAATTAGCTATTCCTCGTTCATTTTTTCCTAAGGATTATCCTAAGGAATAGACACAAAATCCACCGTTGCCAGGGTTTGCTCAACAGGCACTAAATCCATAGTTTCCAGGGTTCTCTCGTTTATCGACAGTATCATTTTCGATAATCCACTCGAAATACATGTCAATGGGTTTTTAGAGTACACCTGCTGAATACACAGTTCAAATAACACCTATATGTTGCAAGCCTGCTAATGTTCCACTAGACTGTCTAGAATAGTCTGTGGTTGTCATCCATACTCTACTAGATGATGGGGCCAACACTTGGGAACATGGATTCTCACATCGTCCACCTCTCACCCTTAGCTCATGGTCTATATCACCTCTCAACTCATCATCCAACTCATATTTCATCTACCCATGTTTTACCCAACATATTATGTAGATATAAATACATATACAATTTAAATCATTTAAAACTTGTATAAAATCGTTCATTCAGCATAGATAGTAAGTATACAGATAATATGCACACATGGCATGTAGTTTATATAAAATACTTCATATCTATGTGTAAGATGAAAGGGACCATGCAGTCACTTGAAAAGGTGGTGACTCGGCACTTAAATAGCACTTCGTTGCTCTTAACATAATTTTCCTTTGAGAAAACCTACTATCATTTCCACTAGAGTTTTAGTCTAATATTCACCAAGAATAATTAATAGTATTGCTATTATTACTATTATATAAGCACGAAACAATATTTCTCAACCACTATATCAGATAGGGGCCAGAAATAAAACACCGGAGGGCAGGACCATTTTGACATATAGCATTTCTGAAATCCAACAACCCTATGCGGCCCTTTAAACCAGATTCCCCGTACCGCGAATGGTTAAAAATATATTATAACGACACTTATATAACTCATAATAATAGCCCAAATACTTATTATAAGGTCCTAATAACACTACTATATTAAAACATAAGCTATACTAAAGATAGGTTAGGCATAGCTCACTTACAATAGTTTTTTCTCAAAACCGGGCTCTGATGGACCAGCGTTCCCGAGCCGAAAGGCTCTTCTTCTCGGAGCCGTCGAGCACTCCGGGGCTTCAGTCTCGTGCTAGGGAGGTTCCCTAGGCTTTTCAGGGGGTTTCGTGGCTAAAGAGAAGTTCTAGAGAAAGGGGGAAGTGATGGGAGGTGTGAGGAATGAAGAGGGCTTCAACTCTTAGTTATAGGGGGCTGGAGGGTCACTCACGTCATGAGCCAACTAGAGACACCCAGGCACAGCCTGGTGCTGACACGTGACATCGCACACAGGGTGAATATCAGTCGATTTTTAAAAATTCATAACTTTTGCATACCAACTTTGTATTCGATGTTCTTTATATCCACACGTAGGTACAAACAAGGTCTACAGTTTTCATTTAGACTCTGTTAGCTAATTCTCAATCGATCTTAAATATAACAGTACGAGGAGATTATACTGTTAAAGGTCCGCATAAAATTCGTAACTCTTTCATACGGACTCCATTTTCGTCTGCATTTTTACCTTTGAGTTCCTATTAATGAGATATACAACTCTCATTTAGGTCACATAGGCCAAAAACCGCTCGATCTAAAATTCGAGTTTCGGGCTATGCACTCCTATATCAAATCTTAGAAAATTCATAACTTCCTCATACAAAGTCAGATTTCGGCGTTCTTTTTTTTTTTGTATGTTCTCGGTTTAAAGTATACTACAACTTTTGTTTAGATTTCTAAGGCTAAAAAGTCCTCCATCATAAATTCACTATTTACGTCTCCCAGTGTTGTGCTGGTTTTCCCAAAAAACTTCGACGGGTCATAATGTCTTCATTATAACTTGGATTTCAACGTTCTTTATATGTATGGAACCCTTGATACATATTATACAACTTGGTTAAGATTATTTATTCTAAATAATATTTTGTCGAAAAGTCGTTTTTGACCCTTATTATCTCTAAATTGACTAGCCCGGATCTACGGGTGTTACAATTATCTCCCCCTTAGGATGATTACGTCCTAGAATCATCAACGAAACAGGGCTCACATGATGACTCCATATGTTATCTCTTCATCCTAAGTAATAACCGTAACTTTAATATTTTTCTTCGAACGAGTATCTAACTCTAAGACTTCCTGATTGTAGGCGGTGTCTGATCTTGGACCCGCTCTCTATCTCATGTTAGACTTCTAATCATGATCTTCATGTCACGATCTTGATCTTTATTGGAGACTCCTTCTTTAACAAACTTGAGATAAGTTTCTTCCTTCGATTATCATAATAGACTGATGGGTCATGTTCTAATGACCTCTCATCGTACAATGCATTGCTTGGACTCAGGTCTTTTGGAGTCAAATTCTAGAACAGACTATACCTTCCTTCATGTTCTAATCACATCTTAAAAGGTAGCATTTATAGCTACAAACAACTATCGTGATACCTCTACCGATCGCTTTGATTATCTTTTATTTCAATCTTTCGGATGACACTACGGAAAAAGAAGAAGTTCCTGAAACTCCATAGGGTGATGTCTCATCCAAGAAGAAATCTCCTGTCAAATTGAATTTTGAGGAGATAGG